TCCAAGCTCATTGTCTTCTTCCGCCGCCTGCAGTTCGTCGGCACCGAGTCAGACGCACCAGGGGCGACGGGGGGCGACGGCCAGATGATGGGCCTCAGCGCTCTCGCGGAGCTGGGCAAGCGGCGGCCCGACAGCGCGGCGGACGGCGAGCTGCAATGAATCAGCGGAGGGTCGGAGAGGCAGCGGGCGACGCAGAGGGCGCGCTGATGCAGGTGGAACGGGCTCTAAATGCAGAAGTCGTTGCTCAGGCGGTGGGCCTCCCTCGTCGAAGGCGCCCGCGTGCGCTCTCTGCTCCTGCGCGACATGCCCTCGGGGGTGTGGCCCAGCGTTGTCGCCCCGACCATCGCCCCGATTATCGTGGCTTCCAGGGCCGCTGGGAAACTTTGCGCCGAGGCCGCTTGGCTTCCCGACGCGAAGGGCAAGCTCCAGCCGCCCTATTTGCGCATGGCGCGCGCATTCTTGCAGCGCATGGTGGAAACAGTTTGGCAAACAGATCGGGGGCGAGGCTCGCGAGGTCGCTCGCCTGTTTTACGTCAAGTTCATGCAGGCCTGGACAGCAACGGGAGCTCGGCTTGTTGATCCGTCGCTTTGTGTGCAAGAAGTGCTCCAACGAGGACATGGCGAGGCTGCAGTTCCCGATCGCAGGCGGGGCGATGGTGCTCGGCGACGCAGGGGGCCATGCGACCTGCTCCAATCTGATGATCGAGAACGCGACGGCGCAGCTCATCTGGGCGGCAAGGGCGGGAACGAGGCCTTGAGAGCTTGGGTGTCGAAGAGAGAGAGGGAGAGAGAGAGAGAGATGACAAGAGAGAGAGAGAGAGAGATAAATAAACAAACAAACAAACAACAACACAACATATATCGGGAAGGAGGGAGAGAGAAAGACAGAGAGAGAGAGAGAGAGAGAACAGTACATCCCGAGGCATGACCTAGGTTCCTTCGAAGTTCTGATCTCGTACCCTGCCCAGACCATTTTGCTCTCACCCCCTGCGGGGGGGCCCGGCCATTTTGTTTTTGCCCTCCTTTTCCTGAGTGTGTATTACTTGTTTGGTAGTTCTGAGCCGCTGAGATGGCCAGCTGACTTCCGCCAGCGAGATGTTCAGGCTCCCAGAGTGCAGCTCCGTTTTTGCGTTGGGCTGGGTGGATGCCTCGGGGGCCTGCTTGGCACGCTCAGTGCCGTAATGTTTCGGCCCTTTTGGCGCCAGAGGGGTGTCCCCCCAACCCGCGAATGGCGCACAATGTTGCGCACAGCCTTGTCCTTACAGCATCGAGTGCTGCACGGCGCTTGTTGCCCATGATCGCGTATAGTAAATATGAAATCGTTCAAGACAGTAGCTGCCCGATTGTAGCGGTCCGCGGAGCTGCACACATATACCCCCGCACTCGCAAGGCCGAGTCTTTTCCCATATTTTCCTGTCCGCATTCTCCTTTTTCCAGTCCCCGTCCTCCTCCGCATCCCCTTCTGCCGTTCTCTCCGCCTCCACCTCCCCCTCCCTCTCTCCGCCCCCGCGTCCCCCTCCCCCCTCCCGCCGCCGTCGGACGCCTTGGCGCTCCCAGTGCAGGGCACCGCGGGGCGGCAGGAGATCCGCACGCTGGCGCAGCACTGGCAGCCCCACTTCGGCCATCCGACTTCGGCCAGGCTGAACTCCCAGGAGGGGAAAAAACACACAGACACAATTAATCTTCGATTCCCCCGAAAATGTAGAAAAATATGGGAATTGGGGGGAAAGACAGAAACCCAGAAAATGTAGGAACATATTGGGAATATTTTTATTTGTGTGTATTGATTTGTGTGTCCTGGGGCCCCTTCATGAACTTGGCCAAGCTGGACCCGGCCCGGTCGTCCTTGGCCGAGTTCGGCTGGCCGAGCTCACCCCGGCCGAGTCCAGCCTAGCCGAGTTTCGCTTGTCTCAGTGCTTCCCTCGCGCCCCCCCCCGCACCGTCGGGTCTTCAGGTCTGGATGGGGACACGCGGCTGGGTTGCGAAGGCGTGGGCCGCCGCCCACGACGGAGCGGGGCCTGCTTAGGATCCCGCCGCGCTCTCGCTTTCGAGCAGTGGCGAGGCGTCCTGACCTGCCTGTTCTAAGAACCTTCCGTAGAAACCACTAGTGGTTTGCACGACATGTTCTTAGAGCATGTCTGGCTGAAACCGTCTTGGCTTGATGTTCGGCTTTACGTTATACGAAACGTGTTCGTGGAGGCCTGTAGGAATGCTGGGACGGTCGGTCCCTGCTCTTTTCTTGGCGGAGAGTCTCGAAAGGCCAAGCTGCGTGCTGTGCGACGCAGCCGAGGGCTCCAGCGGCCACGTCCTGCTCCCTGAGTGCGAGGCCGTGCGGCAGCAGGAGGACGTGAGAGGCATGTGTGGGTCGTGTGAACTTCCCCTGCTGAGTCGCAGGACGAGGAGCGCGAGCGTTTCCCCTAAGCCTCCCAAGCCAGGTTCCGGCTCCGGCCCTTGTTTTTCTGACTCCTGGTGCCATCCCATCTCCCCGACTTCGGCTCCGACTCCGTTGGGACGCGCCTTCGTCCAGCAAGTGCAGTAACCGGGCCCCGGCCCACCCGCGCTGCCCCTAGGGGGCCCGCTGGCCGACCGGCCAGCGGACTCGGCGCGCTCCTCTCGTCTCTCCTGTCCCAAGCCAGGCTCTAGTCACCCGGGTTGGTGTGTGGGCTGGCCGCGGTCACGGACGGTGGACCCAGCTGCGAGCGCCCAGAGTTCGCCTGGCCGCTGGCCTCTCCGCTGCCCGACCAAGTCCCCGACGAGCTCCCCGAGCATAGGCCTGGGGGCAGCAGCTCTTCACTGACGGGTCGGGCCGCCGTTGCGAGGTGCGCAGGTGTGGATGGTCCGCCGCCCAGATGTCGGTCGGGCTGCTACCGGTCAATGTCAAGGTTCGGTGGCGTGGCATGCAGGGGCTCGTGCAGACGGTGTCGAAGTCTGAGCGCTAATACGCCGGCCTTGTGGACCGTCCATCTCGGGAGTCATCCTGTGCGTTTGGTGTCGGACCATGTGGCACTTGCGCAGGACATCTACGATCGGCAGGGCCGCACTCGGGTAGTCTGGCGGCCAGATCTCGGCGAAGGCGGAGAGGCGCGGTGTGCCCGTGCCGTCTGCGGAGCGGGTGCGGGCCCACCGCGAGCTGGAGGATGCGGTTGCGAAGGTACAGTCGGGGCGCTGAAGAAGGAACCTTTTTCGTTGGGGAGGGTCTCGGTGATCCCTGATTGTTTAACAGTTTGCCTCAGGTTTTTCTCAGGTATCCCATGGGAGATCGAAGTTGATTTTGTAGGAACAAGGGGCCTCGTTCCTTATTTAGGGTTCCTCAGGTCAACACCCCGACTGTACCGCATTTTCGCCGCGTCGGCAAGTTCTGGGCCGGCGTGTTCGCCCAAAAAGGGTCGGCCAGCATCGAGGTGTCGGAGGTGCACGCGCGGGGCTGCGGCTCCAGCTGCGGGACGCTCGGGCGGCCATGCAGTCCATGTGCTGCGTGGCCCGGGCGGCGGAGCGTGCAGTGCGGCTCTCCGTCCGTTCCCGTGGCAGGTCGCCGAGGAGGCCCAGGTGGGCTTGAAGCTGCCTGAGCTCTCTGAGCACCCCACTTCCTCCTCCTCCCCCTCCTCCTCCTCCTCCTCCTCCTCCTCGATCCCTCCTCCTCCTCCTCCTCCTCCCACTCCTCCTCCTCCCTCCTCCTCCTCCCCTCCTCCTCCTCCCTCCTCCTCCTCCTACTCCTCCTCCTCCTCCTCCTCCCTCCCTCCCTCCTCTCCTCCTCCTCCTCTCCTCCTCCTCCTCCTCCTCCCTCCTCCTCCTCCTCCTCCTCTCCTCCTCCTCCTCCTCCTCCTCCTCCTCCTCCTCCTCCTCCTCCGACCCCAGACTGGATCGCGTCGGAGCATCGTGGCCCATAGCCTGGTGCAGCTCAGCAGTGGCGCGCTGAAGCGCGAGGTGTGCTATCTCAGTGCTGCCACCCATTCCTCGCTCCAAGCGTTGCGTCGTTCGTCGTGTAAGCCGCCGACGTTGGGCGCCTTCGACGTCGCGGAAACGGGGTTCGCGATCCGGCGCGCGGCCTGCTCGGCTCGTTCCAACGAGTCGAATCGTCCCCCCCCCCCCCCCAAGTTCAGTGACCCGTGCCGTGGGGCGTCCAAGCAGCCCAAATGAGGGCCAAAAGAGATGGGCGCAGTGAAGCAGCTGCGGCGCGGGCCGCGCCCCACAATGCGGATTGCGATGGAGGTTCGGAGCCCTTGGCATGGAGCCACTTGCGACAGGACGGCATGCGGGGCCCCGTGCGACTGGACGGCATGCGGGGCCACCAGTCCAGCACGGCGTCGGCCTCCACGCCGACTTCGCAGGTTCTGTCGTGGTGCTAGGTGGCCACGGCTTGCTTAGGGTTCGGCCTGAACGTGCTGCCATGGGGCATCGTCGGCGCCGTCGGCTTCCCCGTGTTGCTTGGCGGCGCCTTCGCTGGCCAGGCATTTGGTCTGGCCCGTCCAGGAGTGCTGGTCGAGCGGCCGCTATCAGTTTCAGCAGGGCCCACGGGCGCGAGCGACCCGTGGCCAGACGTTGCCGTCCGTGGCCGCCTGAGAGACCAGGCCCGCCGAGCCCGGCGGCTTCGGCGACCCAGCGCACGGGCACTCTGGCGCCACCTTCCTTCTGTGCCCCTCCCATCCCCACCAAAGGAGACACGCAAAACTTTATAAGAGCTTCCGTTGCCTGCCTCCCCCTCCTCGTCTCCTGGTAGGGGGCTGGGGGAAGTCCCCGCGAGTCTTGGCGCCAGCGGAGGCCACCCAGTGGCCACCGCCGCAGCAGCCCTCTCACTGCTCGAATGCTGCTGCGCAGTCTGTCACCCCGAGACGCCGCGTCTTGCCTCGCACCCTCGCGCCCTTACGCTTCAGTGCTGGAGGCCCCTGGGTGCCCAGGCAGGGGAGAATGCGTCCGAGCACCCTGATCCCCTGACCCTCGGACATCGAACCCCCGTCCTTGAGTATCGTGCCCCCCTCCTTTCTTAGCCCTTCCGCCTCGAGGTCGGCGTCGCCAGCGAGCACAGGGGCCAGGGTTGCCGCAAGCAGCTGGCGAAGTGGCTGGTCAGGCACGCGAAGCAGGCGGGGTTGGGGTTGGCGAGGTCGGACGATGCCCAAGGGGGAGGAGGAAGAGGAGGAGGAGGAGGGGGAGGAGGGGGAGGAGGAGGAGGGAGGAGGTGGAGGAGGAGGAGGAGGAGGAGGAGGAGAGAGGAGGAGGAGAAAGAGGGGAAAGCGGGAGGAGGGCCGAGGGAGGAGGGAGGAGGGAGGACGCAGAGGGACGAGGGCAGGAAGGATGGGATGGAGGGAGGAGGGAGGAAGGAGGAGGGAGGAGGGAGGAGGGAGGGAGGAGGGAGGACGGAGAGGAATGGGATGATGATGATGATGATGATGGAGGCGAGGAGGAGGAGGAGGAGGAGGAGGAGGAGGATGAAGAGGAGGAGGCAGAGGATGATGATGATTATGCTGCTGATGCTGATGCTGCGGATGATGATGCTGACGATGATGATGATGATGATGATGTTGATGATGATGATGATGATGATGATGATGATGATGCTGCTGATGCTGCTGATGATGATGTTGATGCTGTTGATGATGCTGATGATGGTGATGCTGATGAGGAGGACAAGGATGAGACAGGATGCTGATGATGCTGCTGATGATGATGAGGAGGACGAGGAAACAGGATGATGATGCTGATGATGATGATGATGATGCTGATGATGATGATGATGCTGATGATGATGCTGATGTCGATGAGGATGAGGATGCTGCTGCTGCTGATGATGATGATGATTTTGATGACGATGACGATGGCGATGATGATGATGATGATGATGACGACGATTTTGATGATGACGATTATGATGATGATGATGATGCTGATGATGATGATGATGATGATGATGATGATGCTGATGATGCTGATGTTTTTGTTGTTGATGTTGATGATGATGACGATGACGATGATGATGATGATGATGATGATGATGATGATGATGATGATGATGATGATGATGATGATGATGATGATGATGATGGATGATGTTGGGGAGGTGGAGGAGAGGAGGAGAGAGGAGGAGGAGGAGGGGAGGCGGAGGAGGGAGGCGGAGGAGGAGGAGGAGGGGAAAGAGTGGAGGAGGAGGAGGAGAGGCGGGAGGAGCGGAGGCGGAGATGGAGGAGGTGAGGAGGAGGTGGATGTGGGGGAGGAGGAGAGGAGGAGGAGGTGGAGAGGAGGAGGAGGGAGGAGGAGGAGGAGGAGGAGGAGGAGGCGGAGGAGGAGGAAGAGGCGGGAGGCGGAGGCGGAGGAGGAGGAGGAGGAGGTGGGAGGAGGAGGAGGAGGAGGAGGAGGAGGAGGAGGAGGCGGAGGCGGAGGCGGAGGCGGAGGCGGAGGCGAAGGAGGAGGAGGAGGAGGATGATGGGGATTGGGAGTGGGGATGATGATGATGATGATGATGATGCTGATGATGATGATGACGATGATGATGCTGCTGATGCTGATGCTGATGCTGATGATGATGATGGTGATGGTGATGGTGATGGTGATGATGATGCTGATGCTGATGCTGATGATGATGATGACGATGACGATGACGATGACGATGATGATGCTGATGATGCTGATAATGCTGATGATGCTGATGCTGATCCTGATGATGATGATGTTGATGATGTTGATGGTGATGCTGCTGCTGATGATGATGACGATGCTGATGATGCTGATGATGATGCTGGGATGATAGTGCTGATGATGATGATGGTGATGATGATGCTGATGATGCTGATGCTGATCCTGATGATGATGATGTTGATGATGCTGCTGCTGATGATGATGACGATGCTGATGATGCTGATGATGATGCTGGGATGATAGTGCTGATGATGATGATGGTGATGATGATGCTGATGATGATGCTGATGCGGCTTTTGATGATGACGATGTTGATGCTGATGATGATGATGATTATGATGACGATGCTGATGCTTTTGATTATGATGATGATGCTGCTGCTGCTGCTGATGATGACGATGCTGATGGTGAAGATGCTGATGCTGATGATGCTGCTGATGCTGCTGATGATGATGCTGATGTTGATGATGATGCTGATGATGACGATGGTGATGCTGATGCTGATGATGCTGCTGCCGCAAATATGGTGATGCTGATGATGCTGCTGATGATGATGCTGATGCTCATGACGATGCTGGTGCTGATGATGATGATGACGCTGATGCTGATGATGATGATGATGCTGATGATGCTGATGCTGATGGTGGTGATGGTGATGGTGATGGTGATGATGATGATGATGATGATGATGATGACGATGACGCTGACGATGCTGATGATGATGATGCTGATGATGATGCGGCTGCTGATGATGACGATGATGATGCTGATGATGATGACGATGATGATGCTGATGATTATGATGATGATGACGCTGATGATGCTGATGATGCTGATGCTGATATGATAGTGCTGATGATGATGATGGTGATG